CCCAAAAACTAAAAAAAAACCCCAAAAGGTGTGTTTTGGGGAAAAAAAAAAAAAAAAAAAAAAAAAAAAAAAAAAAAAAAAAAAAAAAAAAAAAAAAAAAAAAAACAATGCTCGCGTACTGCTCCGTGGAGGTAGATTTGGAGTATGTAAGAAAAAGTTAATGCTTGTGAACTGCCTCCTGGAGGTAGATTTGGAGTATACAAGAAAAAAGCAATGCTCGCGTGCTGTTCCACGTAGGTAGATTTCAATTAAACATTCAATATATTATTTGAATTACCCATCCTGGCAGCTGGAACATGCAAATCCATTGAGAAATTAACCAATCAAATAAAATTGTAACTTTGACATTTTCCATATTTTCCTATCACGGAAACAATCTCAACACTTGTTGACTCTTTAAGAAATTTAACTAACATTCAATTACTCTACATTCTTCTACTAATTTGATTTTTAATTACCTATAATTGGTGAAGGTGCAAGCATTAACTTTATAACATATACACTTTTTCAAAGTAATTTCTCCTTGACTTCTACAGTTTTATAACATACGCTCTATTATTTTTTCATCATTATTTTTTCATCATTTAAAACAAAGAAAATACTAAAGAACACAAAAACCAAAAATTATATAATAAAGTACGTTTATTGATACCAAATTACAATTTATGCAACATATATACCATATATACAATTAACGCCATGAAGTTCAACTGCTCGTCTAAATAAAAATCAAACATCTCATATAATATCAACAAAAGTTATTCATTTATCAAATGAAACGAGTTCCTAATCAGAAAATTTGGCTCTCTTTGTTGGCTGTAGCATAATTATTCATTACTATAAACAGCACGTCTACATAATTTAAAAAGCTTATGTGACAAGGCTTGGGTGTTGCCATCAATGTTAAATGCTATACAAAGTACGTAAGATTATCCAAAATATAGTGAATAAAAAGATACACATTAAATAAAACATAATCATTGAAAAAAAAACTGAATACAAAAACTATTATGCATAAGTTTAAAAAGTAAAACACAACATGGTAATAATAATGATCATGGATAACACAATACAATTTTACACTGATTAGCATTAAGTGATTTGTAATAGATAATATAAACGGAAATAAATATGCTATATAATAAAGAAAACATAACATATTGATTAGAAAAATACTTATATTTGTCATAATAAAAAAATAATAAGTATGCTAATAATGTAATAATATCGCACATTTCGCACGCTTATAATCATAATGAGAATGCATACAGGAAGGTCAATTCCTGAAATCAGTAAAGTAACAATAAGGAAAACTCTACAAAATCCTAAATAACGACATTAAAATGTTGGGATAGTACACACACCTTTTTACACAAGAAGTTGCAATATTAAAAAAAATATATTAAGGCACTAGCCACACGTAGTAAGTCAAGCAGATTAATATCCATATAAATAAAATAATTCTGCATTGTGTTCAAATGTTTTAAGTCAGATTAATATCCATATGAATAAAATCAATCTGCATTGTGTTCAAATGTTATAACTGAATAAATACTAGTGCATTAGCGTGTTTAATAATCAAAAAGCATACAATTCACTTTTGAATAATTTTGTGACTTTAAAAGCTGTGAAAAATAACAATGAGCAAGTTCATAAATAACGCTTTTCTTTATCATGATGTTTATGATAGTCGCTCCATGCCAATGTTTTGACACATGTAGTTTGTAGGTACAAAACCTTTTTTTAAATCTGTCAAAATGAGAATAGTTGTTTCTACACTTTGCAATATGTGATCAGGAAATGTCATTGAATCTGTGATACTTAGTTCCTTCAGCTTAGTATTTAGATATTAAGATGACAGTGCAGTTTGGATGAAATCCTTGCTATTCCTAGCCAGGATTACATAAATATTAACTTAATATGGACCTAACCGTTCCCTTGATGGCTGTTCTGCAAATGGCACAATTCCTCAAGGCAGGTGCACACTGGACACAGGCGACAAGATGGCCGCACGGCAGAAATACTACGCTAACTTCTTCATCCATACAAATCTTACAGATGCGCTCTTCTTTCAGTCTTTTGTTTTCCTCCAGCAAAGACTTGGTCTCTGGAATGCAACTGGTAACACTTACTTCAAAACAGTTGTTGATAAGGATATAATATTCAGACAAGGGAAAGGACACAAATAAACACGTTTGCCCTTCTTTTTTTAATCATTCATCAAGTGCTTCAGGATGCTTCTTATTGTAAACAACATAAACGATTTATACCAGTCGCCCTGTAGCTGCAACTCGAGTGCGTTGATGGTTTAGTTGAAAAAAAAAAAGAAAATACGTTTTTTTCAGAAAGTTTTGCTTTTATATTCATGCCC